GAAGAAAAGGCAGATATATCCCAGAATGCTTTGCGTGGAGAGCTCTCCTCGCAAAGCATTTACCACACAGCTTTAGCACAACTTCTTTTGCTCATAAATGTTTATGTCTTAGAGCGCCGTCAACATATGAAGGCATTATTTGGACAATTTACTGCACTATGAACTGTATTTTGTTCCATAATTGTTATTTCTTGGGGATAGGCTTTTTTTCCGGACACATTTCTATTGGTCAGCTGGACCTCTGCAGCATCCTTGTGTTTGCCAGTGTGCTAGGCTTGAAGTCAAAACAATGTGATTAGCTAATGATAATTAGAAAAGAATGCGATTTTTAAAATAAATATAAAATGTGTAAACAAAAAAAGAAGCTTTTTTGGTATTAGAAAAAAAGAAAAATATATTTGAAAAATAAATTGAAATAACTAAATCTAAGAAAACTGCAAAGTTAATCCCAAACATAAAAAAAGACATTTCCAGTTCTTTCCGTGTATTGCATTTTTAAAATTCTATTTAAGAAACATGTTCTTTAGTTGAGCCTAAGGACTTCATTGAGTTGAAGCCAGCTACGTCTGTCTATTAGGTACTGCTCAGACGCAAACACTGGGGCATATTTCCTAAGTGTAACTGAGATGTCTTCAACCAAACGCTCAGGTAATATAGCTGGAATCAACATGTCTAGAGCCCCTCCCTTTCCTTCCAACTGGCTCTAGCACAGTTGGTGGGTCCCCGCTGGGGTGGCACTCTGATGCCGTTTCATCCTGTGTCTGACAGTCCAGGGAAGTGGAGCCCAGTCACCACACGCTCAGTGATAGGCCTTTTAAAATGAAAACAAAAAATAAAATTCTACCCAGAGGCAAAAATATGCGGCTCTCCCAGGTGTTTCTTTATGTGTTAATAGGAACCACTTAGATCCTTTCTGTGCAGTCTGACAGAAGCATTTACATCATGAATGCATGGAAATTCTCATTTGCATATACACAAGTAAAAACAAGTGATAATAATGACGATTGATTGTGGCTAAAAGTAACAAGTTAATAACACTTATAGTAAGTTTTATTTCTAAAGCACTTTACATGTAAATCTCAAAGTGCTACTGAGTGTCAGGATTAGGTTGTGGTTTAGAGCAGCAGTCCCCAACCACCGGGACGCGGACCGGTACCGGTATTCTCTCCCAATTACATCAGTCGGTGCATCTGTGCCTCTTGACACAGGTTAATTCAGTTCAAGACTCATCCTATCTATAACATTCTTTCTTTGTGAAGCGGGATTTTCTGCGGTTACAACGACCAAAACAAAGCTACGGAGCAGACTGGACATCCGGAGCACACTTCGTCTGTCATTTTCTCCGATTACGCCTAGATGGGACCGGCTTGTTGTTTGATTTTATGCTGTTTATATTTGATTTATTTATGCCAGTCGTATCATTTTACTTGATCTTATTTAACCCCCCCCCGCCCGGTCCGTGAAAATATTGTCTGACATATAGCGGTCCGTGGTGCAAAAAAGGTTGGGGATCGCTGGTTTAGAGGACCCAAATGCAGAGGCAGAGAGGCTGAGGTGATTTCTTGCAGTTTAATTGGTAAAAACAGTAAGCAAAGGTAGGAATCCAAAAATCCAACTTAAAATGTAAAACAGACCAGAACCATGGAGATATCAGGAGCAAACAATCAGCAACAGCAATGAGGAGCCAGCGATGAAAAGGAACCAGCAAAGAGTGACAGGAGAGGGAGAGTATATATGGCTGACTGAACAAAGGCAGGGCTAACGAGCTGATAAGGAGCAGGTGTGAGTGGAGAGCAGTCTAGGAAGGAGCTAGGGAAAAGGAGAACAACACAATGGGGCAACAAATAGAAACCAAAGAACACATATATCCAGAAAATACAACAAAATAGTAATTAAACCAATAAAACATGGAGCAAAGTAAAGCATAACAGAACAAAGACCAATACACTGAATAAAAAAAAAAACAACAAAATTAAATTGGATCCAACTATCTCCAAACATTCTTTTATCCTATGGTTTTAGATTGAGCTAAATGTAACTGATGGCTGCACTTCATCACAGGAAAACAAAGGCCTCCAAGGCTCAGTTATTCTAATCACAATCAGAATTTAAAGTGAATTTAAATGTTAGAAAATGTACAAATATCATTTATTTTTACCTCATAATGCGTCTCTCTGATTACTGTCCATTTAGTATAATTAAATTTATGAAGGTTGGATTCAAGCCACCTTGGAGGCTTTACCAGGAGACATACACAAACAGACATACAGGAGGTCAAAGGGGGGCAACAACCCAGCAATAGGACAGCTACCTCTGACTTTATGTGAAGAGACCTGCAAAAAGACCCTCAACAGGCTACAATTGTGCACGTGTCTGCACAAATGGTTAGAATCCAACTCCATGAGGATGGAATGAGGGCCCCACATCCACAGATGGCGGTTGTGCTCACAGCTCAACACTGTGTAGGACGCTTTGCATTTCCCAGAGAAGACCAGGATTGACAAATTCGCCACTCGCGCCCTGTGCTCTTCACAGATGAAAGCAGGTTCACACTGAGCACATGTCACAGACATGATCGAGTCAGGAGACACCTTTGAGGATGAACTACTGCCTGCAACATTCTTTAGCATGACTGGTGTTGGATGGGTCAGTAATGGTTTGAATGGCATTTGTTTGGAGGGCTGCACAGCCCTCAATGTGCTCGCCAGAGGTAGCATGACTGCCATTATTTACCAAGACGAGATCCTCAGACCCCTTTTGAGACCATATGCTGGTGCGGTTGGCCCTGCGTTCATCTTAATGCACGGCAAAGCTAGACCTAATGGGGCAGCAGTTTGTGAGCAGTTCCTGCAAGATGAAATCATTGAAGCAATGAACTGGCCTGCCCGTTCCCCAGACCTGAATCCGATTGAGCACATCTGGGACATCATGTCTCAACCATCCACCATAGCATGTTGCACCACAGGCTGTCCAGGAGTCGGTAGTTTGGCAGGCCTGGGAGGAGATCCCTAGGAGACCATCCACCATCTTATCAGGAAAAAGCCCAGGTATTTTTAGGGAGGTTTTAAAGACACATGGAGGCCACACACAACAGTAGGCCTGATTTCGACCTGTTTAAAGGACATTACATCAATGTTGAATGAGCCTTTATATTTTTCCACTTTATTTTTGTGTGACTCCAAATGCAGACCTTCATTGGTAATCTTGATTTCCATTGATGATTTTTGTGTGATTTTGTTGTCAGCAAAGTCAACTTTGTACAGAACAAAGTATTCAATTAGAATATTTCATTCATTTAGATATAGGATGTGTTAATTCGATGTATTGTGCTTTATTTGATTGAGCCGTGTAAATAATGCATTAGGGGTGTAAATAATAATCGTTTTGTATCGATGCATCGATCCAAAAGCCGACGATCCGATGCATCGACACGTCCGCAAGATAATCGATTCATGTTTTTTTTTTTCCTCCGGTCTATTTTTATCCATTTGCTCCTGGGCGTAATTCTCCCTCCCGTGCTGCGGTGCCGCTAAACCTATTTTGCCCTCCTACCTCGCTTCCTGGTTATACTCTTACAGCAGTTTGTTGCAGCAAGCTTCACACAGACATTTTTAAATTATGCTCAGTATTGAAGCGTGGTCTGTGCTACACGCTGTGGGTCTAGATACGGCCGAGGCGATGAGGAAGTGGGGGCGAGTTTAGTCCGACGACGGAGGGACAATGGGGCAAAAAGAGCGGAGATTCAGCTGGAAAAAGGGTCCCAGCGTTCTCGCGCACCTCGCTCTTCTAGCGGGTCAAACTTCACAAGTTGTTTTCCGCAATTTCGGTCATAAAAACAAAACAAGCCGGCCTCCTGTCTGGTGAACTGTTTGCAATCAGCTACAATCTGGGAGAGGAGCAGCGGAGCGTCTCTCAAGGGGGCGGTGACGTCGACACTGGAGCCTTCTTCTTCTTTTTTTTAATGGCGGTTGGCAAACAACTTATAGGTGCATTACCGCCACCTTCCAGAATGGAGTATGGACCAGACAAACTATTATATTCTCCCTAAAATACCCGTTCTTCTTAGAAAATTAAAAATACTACCAAAAACTACATCCCCAGATGACCTTTGAAACAATTTCCTTATATCTAGTTTATTTTTATTCCTGTCTAACTCTCTACGCAACATCTCTCTTTCCTGAGTATATTTATTACATTCTAAAAAAATATGTTGGACAGTTTCTCTGGAGCCGAGGTATTGCATTGAACTCATTACACTGATATTGTGCAGTATTTTTTGATGCAACTTTTCTACTTCTGTTATTTGGTGTTGTTTCTAAAGAAAATGCATAATGATATTACAGCTTTCATTGATTTACTTCAAACTTGAAACTTTGTTTAGCCTGTAAGGTGTAAAAAAAAAATAATAATAAAAAAAAAAATTAACCGATTAATCGAATCGAATCGAATTGTGGTGTATTCTTGAGTATCAAAAATAATCGAATCGTTGGGTCAGGAAATCGATACTGAATCGAATCGCCATGATGGATGTGATTTACACCCCTATAATGCATCATAATCTTTAAATAATAGTGAAATGAATTTAATGATATTTCAATATACGTTGACAGCATCTGTCACTGACTACCATTCTGAGTTTTACTTAGTTTAATGTGTTTTTTTAAAGCAAATATTTCTAAAATGTTATCTTGGAGCAATTTTATTAAGATGTCATGTTTGTATAGACATTTATTTTAGCCATTCTTGGCAGTCTTTTTTGAATGCTTTTATTCAATTTACATGAATACCGAAATAATAACGCCTCGACCACAATCAAGAAATATGTCCTGATATAAGTTTTGTCAATAATGATGAGTCCTCATTGAAGGTTAAGGAAAATAAAGCAACATTTCTGTCAATTCTTGTTTACAACATGAATACCAGTGAAAGAACTCCTAAATGAGCAAATTATATGTGTTAGGAAGAGGGGCCGTACCCTGACCCCAACCTGGAGGCAATACCTGGCGCTCGAAGAGGGAGTCCGCTGTCCAGACCTCTGGGTTTGGTGGTGACAAACAGATAGCAGAGGACGCACAGAGTGATGATGAAAGCGAGGAGGACCACGGCTGCAACAGAAAGACCCACAAGAGCGCCGAGGCTGGAAGATAAAGAAGAAGAACCAGTAGAGCCCTCAGTGCAGACAAGAGCAGATGGAGAAAAAGAAAGCAAGACTGGAAGGTTTCTTTATCGCTGCTAACAGCTGCTGCACTTCACTTATCACTGAGGAGACAAGGTTCTCTGGTTCATTCCCATCTTTGCAGAATAAAAGCTGCACTGGTGTAAAGTGATTAAAGCTGACTCACTTCAGGTTGAGTTACAATGAGTAAGTCCAGATAAGCCTGAGTTTGTTAAAAACAAGAAAAATAACATTTGCTTCCCATAATTTAACCAATTAACAAACGGGAATTACAGGTTCTGCAAACAATCCATCCATCTCATCCTGATTATTCCATCAGGGTCGCTGTGGGGCCAGTGCCTATCTACGGGCCAATGTTGTGGCCATAATTAAAAAGAACGAGCTCAAAGTTCAGTTCACACAAAAGGAAATTAACTCAATGTGTGGCTTAAAATTTGAAGTGGAAATGGCTGATGTACGGACTTGTTGTCAAGTCGTGGTGGGCACAGTTTGCACAAATAAATTTTTTTTCTGTCTCAGTCTTCCTTTGAGCATGACACAGACTAGTACTAGCAGTAGACAGTCTGTCAGGCTGTTTGCCATAATAAGTGCCGTAAAACCTGATGTGATCCAATGAAAAGTTTCGTTATCAATTGAACGTAAATGTACGGTGGCCCTGAAGTGCAAACTGCAACTACAAATCTAAAAGCGCAACTACATTAAAAAAAACAAAACTACATAAAGCAAAGCGCAACTACATTAAGAAAAACAAAACTACATAAAGCAAAGCGCAACTACATTAAGAAAAACAAAACTACATAAAGCAAAGCGCAACTACATTAAGAAAAACAAAACTACATAAAGCAAAGCGCAACTACATTAAGGAAAACACAATTACATTAACCTACCGGAAAAGGTAGGTACCAGTGGGAAACATGAGACATCGCTGATTGGACGACGGCGCCGTTTGACCCTTGAACCGGAAGTTGCGTCGTCTGAACAGTCCAGCTTCTTTTAAGTGTGTCTTCAGTGTACGCAAACTAACTGAAATTTCGTGATTAGTCTTGAGTGTATCCAGTATCACCTCGTACGTATGTCCTGATTCAAAATATTCCTGGATAACGGCAGCTATGTTTGGGGCGCCGACAATATCCATGTTTTCAAAAGCCGCAGCAGGCAGAATGACTTCCGGTTCAAGGGTCAAACGGTGCCGTCGTCCAATCAGCGATGTCTCATGTTTCCCACTGGTACCTACCTTTTCCGGTAGGTTAATGTAATTGTGTTTTCCTTAATGTAGTTGCGCTTTGCTTTATGTAGTTTTGTTTTTCTTATTGTAGTTGCGCTTTGCTTTATGTAGTTGCGATTTCCTTAATGTAGTTGCGGTTTTAGATTTGTAGTGACAGTTTGCACTTCAGGGCCACCGTATAATTGTGAGCTGTGAGTGTGTCGCTCATTATTCTCAAAGCGAACGTCGCTCTCAATCATATTCATTACTTCAAAACTGATCGATTCAGTTTAACATTCATTAAAGATATGAACGTATTCAGAGAACGGGAATATTCAGAAATATTACATGTGAAAATCCCATGTAGAACCCAGGCACCATATGTGAATTTAAAATTTGGTACAACTGTAGAAGTATATAAATGAGGATCTGGAATGATTCCCATGCAAAGAATGTGGTACACATGATTCACACGTTTACCACTTTTTTGCCATTTAAAGCAAAAGTGATTCACATTTGTGGCCCATATATATAAACATGTGAATAATGCATGCTTATAACAGAAAACATTAAAAATCCATGGATTTACATGAACTTCACATGTTTTCAAATGTGATCCCAATTTTAAGCAAATGTGATTCCTTTCTCAGACCCCTGTGAAAAACATGGGGAATCACATGTGCTTCGAACATAAAATGTTTCAAATCCATATGTATACACATGCTCTGTATGAGTCACATGTGGAAAAATGTTGATAAGTCCTTTTAACGTGAAATGTTCCAAATCCTACATGGAACATGTGTTTTTACATGTGGTACAAATTTCCAAATGTGAATCCCAGTGGAACCCAGTCTGATTTACATGTGCGTCACATGTAAATCACTTACAAAACACATGTATATGTGTGGTACACATGCTTTTACATGTCATTCCTATTTAGAACACATGTGATTCACATTAAGACCAGAGGTGGACAGAGTACTAAAAAATTGTAACTGAGTAAAAGTATCTTTACTTTGCCTAAATTCTACTCAGAGTAAAAGTAAAATTACCCATCTCAAAATTTACTCAAGTCAAAGTACAAAATTACTTCATTTAAAATGTAATTTGAGTAAAAGTTACTTAGTTACTTTGAGTTATTTAATGCAAAAAAAGGATGACTCATGAATCGAATTGACCACAAGGTTTTTTTATCGATTTCAGGGAATATTTCAGTGGACATCCAAACTTGCAAAATCAGCTGGGCTAAAGAACATACTTCCTCACAGCACAAGGACAGTCACAAACTGAACCATAAAGTGCAAACAATTTTCAATCCTACTGTCCAACAGACAACACCATGATAGGAATAAAGAAATTTAAACTACGTTTTAAAGTTTTCAAAATGCACACAAAATTAAATGCCCAAAAGATACCAGAAATCAAACTAAAACGCAACAGGATGCCACTGTTAATAACAAGCTCCTCATTTAATGATTTTAACTGACACTTGTTTTACTTAATTAGTGATTTTAGCTGTCACTTATTTTTACATCAATTGCTTATATGTTTGAATTGTGTAAATAAAGTGCTGTTAAAAGTCAAAAGGTCTTCTTCCTTTTTTTAATGGTGATTAAGTGTCGGTTCCGTGACACAGGGGTATAAATTTCCGGCCGCATTTAATTTTTTCACCATCAGTATTTTATTTATTTTTTTACTCAGTAATGTGAGGGGGTTTTAAATGTAGCAAAGTAAAACTACTTAGGTTAAAATTTACTCGAGTAAAAGTAAAAATTACATATTTCAAAAAACTTCTCAGAAAATTACAAATTACTCATGAAAAGTACTCAATTACAGTAACGTGAGTAAATGTAATTCGTTACTTTCCACCCCTGCATTAAGACTCATGTGAATCATATGTGTGCACAGATGATTCCCTTTTCAGGCTCATGTGAAAAACATGGGAATCACATGTCAAAACGATGTGTATCACATTTAATTTACATGTTTTCTCATGTGAGAAATATGAAAAACACACGTATTTTAAACAGAAGATGTTCCAAATCCACATGCTTCAGACTTTTGCATGAGTCACAAGTGGAAACTTGTTGATGTTAAGTCCTTTGTATCATGAAACGTTCCAAATCCTACATGAACATGTGCTTTTGAATTTGATTTGCATGCGCTACACAAGTTTTCACATGAGATTACCAGTTGAACCGCATCTCATTTACATTTGTAAAAAAAACAAAAAAAAAAAAACGTAATAAACTTGTGAAAACAATTGGATCACGTGATACATGCTTTGACTTTTTGAATAATGTAAAAAGTGTATTACATAGAGCACATTTAAATGATATTCACATGGGAAATATAAATGAAAATATGTAGTTGCAGGTGATCAAAAGTTGAATGGAACATGGATGCCATGAACAAAATGCTTGATCATATGTGGAAATTTTGACCCACATGGAAACCCCATGTGAACATGTGGAGTTTTTTTTGATTTTTTTTCTGTAAGGGAACACTAGAATTGAACTAATAACAATCATGAACACAGAATGTTGATTCACAATTGCTGTATAATTTGGAGGAAACGTGCTTGCTGTGTTTGTTCACAAGAGATTTGGACAAAGAGAACAAACATTCAGGGCACGTCTAAAGTGGACCCATATAAAAGTCAGTGACAGACTGACATCCTGGTGAGCTTCCAGGATGTGCAACATGTCACACCATAGTGCTACAGCGCTGCTGACGGCGCATTATAGATAATGCCACATAATGATGCATAGCGGCCAACACATACAACCCAGAGGTGGGTAATTCTGCTGGATCTCATGAATGTTGCAGAAGAAGCACTATATGGGAAAGAGAATAAAATTCCACATGCTGAATCCACAGCCTATATTCATTTCAGAAAGTCATAAAAGCTTAACATTAGTATTCAGAGACTGTTCAGCTCAAATATTGTATTTGGACATTTTTTTTTTCATGCAAAGCATCATGCAATGAATGGACATGGATGGGAGGCAGGTGAAAAGAAAAGCAGCATGTTGTTTTGAAAGAAATAACATGTCTTTAGATTGTTTTTATACGATGGTGCACCCCTTGCAGGAGAGTCCAATACTTTTTTTTTTTAAATCAAAAGTTAAGAAATATTAGTGTAAATGTGATTCTGTTTTGTATTATTTACATCCCCTCTGTCAGTACAATCTTCTGCGTTCCTAACAGATGTTGGAAATCTACAGTGGAATCATTTATCCATAGAGCCTTCCATGCATTCATTTGATGATTATAAAATGTTTCCAAATTTTTATAATCATCCTGAAAGTCGGTTTTGTTGGCATTATCTGAATTGCAATAACAAAAGATAGGAATTCCAGAGTCTCTGCTGGCTAAATGTCAGCAGCATCTTCCTGAATCAATCCTCATCAGCCTAATTGATGTTCAGCACCACTTAGGCTGATATGATCCGTTTCTGCAACCTGTGGGATGCAAATCTGAGCCGCAGCAAACTACACCCAGCTGCCAATCCAAGTCATCTCTCACCTCAGCCACCACATGTATCCATATTCGTATGGGAAGAAGCTGTTCGGGTCATCGCAGCAGTACTTTAAGTCACTGAAGCCGCAGCAGAAGACGGCCGTGGAGTCGCCCCCCGCCTTCGGACACGCGAAGCTTTCCACGAACACCTTTTCCCTGGAGTAGTAACTCTCGCAGAGCGCGCTCATGTCAGGCGCAAAGCGGGCAGCGTTAGATTGCGGCGGTCATTGCGGATCCAGCTGCTGCTGCTGAGCGTCAGAGGGAGAATGGATAACCTCCCTGCCTCCCTCACTCCTCCATCACTGACTCACCTGGCTGCTCCACAGGCGCTCTGATCCAGGAGGCTGGTTCCTGTTAGTATCCCAACTTTACAGGAGTTGTGTGGTGAACTTATTGGAAAAACAACTTTTTTGATGTTTTACTTTGATTTAAAATGTAAAAAAAAGCAAACATTTAAAAATATTCAACATATACAAGTGTCCATAAGCCAGACATTTGCCCTGAAATCAAAGGGTTTACGGTTCAAGCCCCGACTCCAACTTTCAGTGTCGTTGTGTCCTTGGGCAAGACACTTCACCTGCATTGTCTACTGATGGTGGTCAGAGGGCCCGGTGGCGCCAGTGTACGGCAGCCCTGCTTCTGTCAGTGAGCCCCAGGGCAGCTGTGGCTACAATGTAGCTTCCCACCATCAGTGTGTGAGTGTGTGCGTGAATGGGTGAATGAATGTAGTGTAAAGCGCTTTGGTCAAGTCTCCTAACTTGAATAAAGGCGCTATATAAGTACATGCCATTTACAACGTGCCTTTTTGTAGCAGGAGGACATCTCCTCATGCTCCTGGAGGCAGGAGTGTTGGCTGCAGGGGCAGTGTCAGCCAATTGCCTCTGGAGGGCACCCTATAAAAGGGGAGTGGTGGCATTATCGGTTACCCTCTTCCTCTGGTTCCTCCGCTTTGCTTCCGGGTCGCCTCGGCTGCTGGTTAACGGTACAGGTAGGTTGCAGTGGCTGCTAGTGCGCTCTATGGATAATTGTGGTGCTGATGTGCATGTTTGGTTTGTTAGACAAGACGTTCCCGGTTACAGCGCTCGTGATCAGCGCGTCAATCAAACCTGGCCGTAATCGGCAGCTTTGCCTCCGTCCTCTTCCTCAGTGGGATTTCTCTGGTGGCCTGATCGGTATGTATGCTGTATGACAATTTGACACATTCACTTCCTGCTCCTCCACAAAGTAGTAATATTTTGTTGACAGGTCTATGTGGGGCCTGGTGATCTGGGGAATTCCAGCGGCGTTAACTTGGGAGAAACAACACAGCTTTGACACGTTTCAGCTGCAGCTTTTTGATAGCCCACGGCAGTCGGACGCCTGAGCTGCGGCTCCACCTCGGTTCCAATTGTTGTTTAACCACGGCGGTGCGGTCTGAGACGCCTTAATCAGCCGGTATCGTGGCTGGTTAAACTTGGAGCCCGCCGGCAGCAGAAATTGCCCTCTTCCAGCAGCATAGGCTGGGCTGGATTATTCAAGGGGCTGTTTATGTGACAACTGTTCAACCTCTGTTACTGGACTGGTTCTTGATTGTTATTATTCCCGGTATTATTTTTCTTATCCTGAGTTTATTCAGTTATCTGGGTTGCCTGAGTCCATGGGGAATTGTATTTTGGGTTCCAATTGTTCCTGTGACTATTAATGTTTGTTTTTTTGGGTTATTCTTTTTTTCTCTCCCCTTATAGTGTGTGTGCGCGTGTGTGTGTGAAAAGCTATTTATGCCCCTCTTTGTCTTTTCAGTTGCTGAGAGCTGACGTGGTGGTTCCTGGTGTCCTGGTGGTGGGGACTTCCCGTTTTGGTGTGCAGTGCCGCCCCCTTCTAGTCCATTGTTTTACAGAGTGCATGTGTGTAGTGGCTGTCACGAGTGATTTGGGGTGCCTTCCTTTCTGTTTTGCTTTATCTACTGGGATCACTCCTCACTTCGCCTCGACCCACTCCATCAGGTAAGCCTCAGCACCTGAATTAGGCTCCCCCCTCGCCTTCCCGTGTGTGTGGGTAGTATATTTTAACAAGACCTGTTATTTTAATCATGTTTAAATAAAGAATTGCTGTTTTTTCTAAATTATAACCACGTCTCTGACTCTCTCTATGGTAGAACGGATCTACGTATCCTACCTTTAAAATTAATTCTTTGGGTGAAATTCCCAAGGTGGCGTTATTGGTCCATTAGAAATCGCTAGTATCGGGGTTCTCTTTCCTGTATACACCCACCTGCTGCCACATTCTGGCGTTGCTGGTGGGATCAAATAAGAGCAAGACGTGTGTTTTTTTCCCCTTTTTTTTTTTATTATTTTTTTTTTTTTCTTCTCTTCCCTTTGCTCTTGTGTTTCAAATTGTTAAATAGTTTGTTTTCCCTCTTGGTCCGGGTTTGGGGTTTTGGAACATTTTGTGTGTATTGCGGGTTACTTAGACAAAAAAAAAAAAAAAAAAAAAAAAAAAAAAAAAGGAAATCCAACAAAGGTTTTTTTTTTTCCCTTCTCTTAAACGCCGTTTGCCCCAAAAAATTTATTATTATTTTTTTTTTTCTGTTGGTGGGGGTGTGTAGCTAGGGGAATCCAAACTGCAGGTTTTAAAGGGGAACTTATTTTGAAACTTTAAAAGGGGAAAAAAAAAATGGGAGGCTCGACGGGAACAGGGGGGCGGCCCGGGGGCCTCCCCTTAAATGGGGCGGCCCCCCGGTTTTCCCGGGCCCGCTCCCCCCACTTTTGGGTACTGTAACAAAAGAGACTTGCCCTTTTGTGCCCCGAGGATGGGGAAAATGGCCCTAGGGTTCAAAAGGAAATCAGGGTTTGGGCCCTTAGGTGAAGGGATTGAGGAGGTGCGGGGCGTGTTTAAAGAGCCCCGGTCATTTAAAACTGCATCCGACCGGGGTTTTTTTTTCCCTTGGACCCCCTTAAAACACCTTGGGAAGGGAAAGGGAACGGGGAGGAAATAAGATTTCGGCCCGAGGGCAGAACGAACAGCCCCAAAGCTAAAATAATCGCATTTTACGGGAACTGTATGGTTCCCTTTAAACTCCTATTTTATTTTTGCAGGAAGCCTTCTTTTCTCTCCGCCCAGCAAGAAGGCAAAGACCCCTTCAGGAGTTCCCCCTTTTGCATAAGGGGAACCCCTTATGGCATCTGTTAAACGCGCGCCCTAGTAAACGTCCCTAATCGAGGTCTTATTTTGCGCGATCAGTTTTGTTGAACACGTAACTGAGGTGCTCTTTTTCGCAAAATTGAAACATTTGTGCGTAGGCAGCCAAACCCCCGCAAAACGTTGTTTTAAGCCGGGCTGAGGCGATCCAATGGGAGGGGGAAGGGGTTTGGCCAGGAGGGGGCCAAAAGGGGCAAAGTTATTTTTGTCCCCTCATTTCCCGGGGTTTTTCAGTGTGGAGCTCCCAAAGGTGGCCCAAAAGTTGTCCGTCAAGCCAAACCCCGGCGTCCGGAGCTAAGTAAAATTAAAAGGAGTTTGTTTAAAACTCCAGCAAGAGCAAATCAACCAATTTTACAAAAAAAGAAATTTCTCGCTTCCCGGGGCCCCCCTCATTTCCCGGGGGGCCGCCCCTCACAGGGGGGCCCTTTTTATCTGTAACCGAGCCCCCAAACCGGGGACTTTTTTGCTAGGGAATGTGAACGGGGCCCCGGTTCCCCCCGGCCCGCAAAAGCCCTTTCCCCTGCACAGAAGACAAGTTTAACAACATAGCCCCTTAAACGGCCTGCGGAAAACTAACCCCCCCCCCGGCCGAGCTGTTGATCACTTTTTCGGCGGGCATTGATTTTGGGGCTCAAGAAAAAGGAGGTGTTCAAAATCCCCAAAACCCATGCCCCTTTTCCCCCCCATATGTGTATTAATTTTGGGGGGTATTGCTTTTTTCCTTTTTTGGGTTTTGGTTTACGGGATCCATGGTATCTACCCACACGGAGAAGTTTTTTTTTTTTCCATCAGCATTTTGGAGCCGGGGGGCCCCGGGGGAAATTTGCCTTTTGTACTGGCTACGGCCCCGGGGGCCACCCAATTTTGGTTTTGACTTTCCCTTCCCTTTGGGGGTACCGGGAAACTGGGAATATTGAACTGGGGCGGTAAGCTGACCCCCAAAAGTGTGGAAATTTTGGGTTTGGTTTAAGGGGAACTTCCCCAAATTGGAAATTTTTCCGCACGGGGCCCCCTGGGGTCTGGGATGAAATGTGATCCCCCGGGATTTTTTGGGCAAAAACCTCTTCGGGGCGAAAATGGGGGTTGGGGGCCCTTTTTTTGGACTTCCCCTCTGTATCTGAGGCTCCTGAGTTAGTTCTGCAACTTCCCTGAAAAAAGGCCTCGAGCTAGTATCCCCGGCCCCCCTTTTGGCCCCCGCCTGGGGAAAACCCAGGGGTGCGGGGACGGAAAGGGCCCTTTGGGGGGGTTTCCCCGGTGGTACTTTTAAAAGTTTGGGGGTGGCCTTGGGCCAAAACCTTTTAAAGGCTTTTGACCCGCCCCCTTCCAAAACAAAATACCAAAAAAAAAACCCCCTTTGGTGTTTGTTTTGACCCCCCCAAAAGCGAAAGGTTTTCCCTTTTGCCCTTTCCACCCGGGCCCCTTATTTGGCCTTTCCAAAAACCCCCTTTGGCCCCAAAAAGGTGGAAAGGGGGCCCTTGGCTACTTTCCCCCAAAATTGAAAAAGGGTTGGGTTCCCCCGGGGAGGTGTTTTGGGTTTTTTTTTTACCCCGGCAAAAAAAAAAAAAAAAAGTTCCCCGAAAAAAAGGGAAAAAAAAAATTTTTTGGAGGTGGGGGAGCGGGTTGGGGGGGTTTAAAGGGGCCCGGGCCCAGAAAGGCTTACAGAGGTACCCTCCCTCTTTTTTGGCCTAAAAAACAGGGGCTTCCCAGGGCATTTTTGGGCCCCCCCCTTCCATTCCCCCCCCGAGGGCAAATAGGGGCCATGGTTTTTTACCCCCCCTTCCCTCCTAAAGGCAGGGATGGGCTAAAGGTTGTTTTCCAAAACCCCAAGTAGGGAATTTTTCTGTTTTTTTTGCTTGTCTTTACAGCATTTTGGGTTCACTAATTTTGGATCGCTTTTGGAAATTCCCCGTTTTTTCTGGATGATGTCCCACCCCGTCAGCGGTACAACCTTTCCTCCGTCGGTTTACGACCTATTTAAAAAGAGCATATAACAAGCTTTTTTTTGGAAGCACGGGATAATTAGGGAGAGCTTTTACCCCCTAGGGCGTCACCCTTTCGTCCTCGCCAAGAGAGAAGATGGTAGCCCCTGCGAAAGTGCGTCGACTACGGGCCCCTTTAAACCGGGAAAAACCCGGAAAGAT